CTATAAATATTGAACTCGTTATTTTGTTGTATCTGATTTGAATTTTCTACTCGATTTATTTCATTGTGTTTAGGTACCGCATACTTTCGATGTCCGATGAATCATGGCGTTTTTGCACCAGTTTATAAAGTTGAAATCCTGACCACTGATCAGGAGACTGATCAAAAACGTAACGATAATGACAGAAGAAATACTGAGGACAGTAAACCTGAAGTCTTGGAGCAACCTGTGGTAAATGTTTTTTTTTCAGCTGATTTGATTTTTGATGATTTTATTGTTGAAAGCGCCGTTTTTGTTCAAGCGCTGTTTATTGTTGGTTGTAGTAACAGTGGTAAAGAACAGATTGCTTAACGGATTTAACGGAGTCATATGGCATCTTCAAATTACGTAATTGAGTATTGTTGACAGCAAAGTTATAAATTTGTCAACGGAACTGTGTGTATTTTTCTGTGGTCAACCTGAGGGTTGGCGGATACTTAAAGAAGATCAGGGCGAGTAATAGGATTTGGTGGTTTTTTATAGACAAACTATCAGATGTGTTGTCTGTTTCAGATGCATCTTTTGTGTAATCATTACTTCTTTGGTTTACTTTCTGTATTTTATTTATTTTTGTTTTTAGTATTCTCAACAAAACGTTTCTGAATTGCCTATTCGACTTCAGTTACCCTATTTCTGCATACTGGCTGGTAATTTGACCATCAAATGTTGTAAAATTCTTAGTTCTACCAGTACAGTTTGTTGAAACGTTTATTTTTTTCTTTTTCTTGAGTTTGTAATATGAAATTTTTTTTAAATTTCCATGAATTATTTGTTTGTTTGGCTTTACTCAAAGTGCTTTTTTTCTTTTGAAATTTATTTTGTAAGCCGTTTTAGTCTTTAAGCCGATAGGCTATCAAAAATTTCAAGGATTTGGACATAGTTTTTCTTCTCCTATGTCATCTTCGTAAGGGTTACTTGTTGACTTTTGCAAGGATAAACTGGATTTAGGCGAGACTCAAGTATAACTGTTGAAAGAGTAGTTGGTTGCAGGCGGTAAATAAAAGAGTTTTTTTTTCAAACAGTTTTGCAAATAAAGTTTATTTGTCTTGTCGATTATGAAGCTTTATTTGCTTAGAAGCTAACCATAGTGGTTGATATCGGTACTGTTTGCAAAAATTAAATTTTTGGAGACCTCCAGTGATGGTATTTCAGTAATTTATTGATAGGGGAAAGAATAATCAGTGTAAGTGAAGCTAATATGCTTTTTTTTCAGCTTTTTACTTATCGTTTTGCCAATTTTTTTTTGTTTGGAATTTTATGATATATGTGATACACAGGTTGCTACACATAAAATAAATGGGTTGGAAATTAAGAAGTGGAAAATTTAAAAAATTTGAGGAAGATGTTGGTGCAAAAAAAAAAAAAACGAGTGGGGAGATTAGATTTCAGATAATGGAAACTATGGATTAGCTAACTGAGACTGGTTAAAGCAATAAGTTGAATTTTCTTCTTTCTTTTTTTTTCGTCTAAAACAGATTCATCTATATATGTGTTTGAAGAGCTAAAAAACAACAATGACAAATATTTGCAAACATCAACCATTTCTTTGATGTTTTTTGGCTGATGGACAAACCGGAATTGAACATCATTTGGGTAGCTTTGAAGGGCCGGTTATGTAAAATTTGTCTAAGAATTTGACGTCTTGTAGCTTGGTTTCTAAGTTTAGTGATTACTTGTATGGCATTGTTTGATGCTAAGAAGAATGACTGAATTTATGAACAAAAAGGAAAAAAAATTCTGCTACTAGAAGATTTTTTTATGTAGTTATATTTTAATCATAAAGTTATAGAAAACTTCGTATAGGTAAAGACAGTTACAGCTGTTCAAAAAAAAAAAAAAAAAA